AAGCAATTCAGACATTTGGAGGAATTATTAGGATCACAAATTAAGTCGTTACTATGGATTCTACACCAGGAAATATATTTTTAATAAGGAAATTGAATCTAATATGTAACAGCTGTCCTGTTGCCCAGTAACAGAGTAGTACAGCAGATTCAATTATTAATGAAAAAATAGAGCAACCTGGAAATGTAACCTCTTAACATTTTCTCATTCCTTTCTCTGTTATACATGGTCATTAAACTGATACTAAAAGCAACACATTTGGTAGTGCTACATAATTTACATTGGTAATTTGTTCTACCACTGCCTAGCTTGGAATTTTCAGCAAGTTATTTGACTTCTCTGAAACTGTAAAATGGAGAGAGGAGAAAACCTACAGATTAAGGAGAGGATTAAATGGTACAAGTAAGAGAAGTGCTAAGCACAAGGCATGGCTTTCCAGAGTGTTTAATAAAATTAGTGTATATTATTAAAATGCATGAAGATGAAATCCAATATTTATTGAACTATTACCCAAAGTGGTATTCAGCCTATGTATACCAGTGCACTACACAAGGTCTTAAAATTCTGAAATTCTCCCACACCAGTTAGAAAATAACTGCTTCCTGGAGGGCTCCAAGGGTCATCTATTGCCCCAAGCATCCCAGCTCCTCCCCTAAGACAAGGACAGGGAGATTCTTCACGACATCATGTCAGACTCCTTCATGATTCAATACCTAAGTGTTTAGGTTATGCCTGGAACTGCAGAGAGCCTCCACGAAACTGAGTGGTACCTCCTCAAATACCCACTTCACCGCATCACAGCTTGCCTAAATCAGCCAACTGCTGACTCACGAGCAAAGAACTGAGTGCTTTGTGACACTGGAATGGCTAACGTCATTACGAGGTGATTATTGATAGGTGATTCCATAAGCAGTGCATAAGTTACTGAAGCAATAACCTTTCACAAAGGTAAAGTATATGGGAAGAATGCACAGAGAGAAAAGAGATGGAGGGAGCTACTTCAATATCTTATCTACTGTATGACCGGGGGCCAGGGATTTAGCTCAGTGGTTCTGCTGCCTGCCTCACAAGCACAAGGACCCAAGTTTGATCCCTGGTACCAAAGCAAACAAAGAAAAAAGACTGTATGACTGCACTGGTGTATATGGTTTGTTGACATGATCTGTTTGTAGTCCCCTTGTCCTCACCATATTCTACCGCTCAGGGCCAGCAGACAGACAGGAGACAGGACAGCTGTCTGTAGGCCCGGCCTGGGCTGGTGTGTACTCACGTTGGTGTTGCACAGCTTGTACTGCCGATAGGCCCCAATGCACGAGATAGCTGCAGATCTCAGGGGTTGTGGGAAGCTCGGATCTGCCCTGTGGGCCCCCACGCCATGGCTGTTGCCTGTTTCTGGGCTGTGGAAGAGACTTGAAGCTGCAGGGAAGCCTTGGTCATTGGTCAAAGGCAGCTGGTAGATGGAGGCCTCTGAGGTCTGCAGTCCAGAATGAGGGCCATTTTCACTTTGGTACAGAGGCCCATGGGCAGACAGCTGGTGGGCAGGCAGGTGGTAGCCATGTCTGGTAGCAGATGCGCCCTGGGATGACCTGGATGGCCGGGATGGGGGCCTCTGTCTTCGCAGCCTCTGTGGCGTGTGCATGGTGTCCGTCTGCAGTGGTAAGATGTACGGGGCCTTGCCATAGCCATACTTGCCAGGGCCGATGGGACCTTGGTTCCTGCTCCTGAAGACAGACACACAAGAGGAGATGAAGAGTCATATGAATTCTCATGTCAACTCAGAACTCTGGCCCAGGGGCGAGGTGGGAACAGAAGCTTGGGAGAGAGCCTGTGGTGGCCCTGGGGAAGAGAGGGTGTCCCAGAAGCAGATAATGCCAATGGGGGCTGCAGCAGAAGCTCCACTGAGGCTGGAAAGCAGAATGAAGGTGAGACTCAATGGTGGGTAACAGTGAATGACATGAGGGGTTGGAGATGAGGCCAGGACTGTAAGCTGTGATCAGTGCGTGCTTCCTATGTGGGGGAGTTCAGGCATTTCTGTAGGTCACAGGGAGCTATGGAAGGTTTTCTGAGAAATATAAAGCTATTGTAGTTTCAGCCACTGCAACTTTCTTGTTCACTTTTTTCTGACATTATATTTTTTTCTCACTCAACTTTGCCTGATATTTCAGACCCTGTTTCCATTACCATTTATGCCCAAAGAGCTTTTCAAATAAGTGGAAATTCAATGAGCAGCCAAAATCCAATGCACTCCTCAGGACTGGCTTGCACTGACCTGACTCCTTAAAAGATCAAAGGGGATTGAACAATCCGAGACTCCATCGTTGATGAGGCAGCCCATGCTTAGCAACAGGTCAGTGGTCACCTTCACATTGGTATGGATCTTTATCCAAATCAGGTTAACAGTGATGTGCCAGGGAATGTCTGACAAATAGTCCATTGGGGTCGGGGGGAACCCTGATTTGAGACAGTTGCTCGTTTCCATGATATAAATACTCCCACCATGGCCAGTTTTTAGCAAGACGAAGACATAATAACTCTACCAGACAGGTAAAAAGCAGCCCCAGACCGCATTGCATAGCAATTTTTTTGTGCAACTACTGTTTTGAAGTACAGTGGTAGGAACAGTTTAAAAAAAAAGGACAAAAATGAATCAGACATGGTTCCCAAGACCCAGCCTTACAACTGAAAGCAGCTAGAACATAACACAGGGTGAAGGCAATACAATGAATGTGCTCTGAGAATTCTGAGGTGAGAAGAAGCCCTTCCATCTGGAGGGATCTGAAAGTGTCACCACCACTGGCCTAGCAGTTGGGAGGCCCAGGTTCCCTAGCTGTGGAAGGACTTGAGTCATCTGACTTATTCATTTGCAAAATGACTGAGCTAGATTAAATGCCCGCCAAGGTTGCGCCAACTCGAAAATTACATGCTTCCATAATAATTAATTCTACATTTATGTAAAATTGGAAATGTGCCTACGGGTTTCCACAGGATGGCCCCATTAAAATAAGCACATTAAAATAGCAATCAACGTGAAACGCTGATTTCTGCCCTCCCCAGGAAAGTCTTTCTTCACTCTATATAATCACTGAATGTAAAATTTAACATAGTGTGACTAATTATTAACATCTTTATCACTAACTGCGCCTCCATTCTTAGCTGATATGGTTTTGAATTAAATCCCCGCTGCAGTGTTTATTTTGCCTGAAACTATTTCTCAATTAATCTGGGCAACACCTGGGACTCTGTTAATGATGGGGGCTTTAACAGATGCAATTAAGAAGTTAGTCTTAAATATATACATATAACTTGGATGTGATTTGCTTCTTTCTTTCTTGTGGTGGGCCAGGTAAAATGAATGACATCATGCAAAGGCCAAGGGAGGAATTTCTGTGTGCGTATGTTTTTAAGATCTGACCACCTACCAAAAAACCTAGCCTCAAGCTAAGTTTTCAGTGGAGACCTCAGCTGAAGATAACAGAGAAAGGAGACGAAGAAGCAGCACATGGCAAATGTGACTGTGCCTGACGGCCTGGGACCTCATTAGCGGTAGAGTCTAACTTATAGGAGGTCTAGGGTGCTACATTTCCAACAAGCTCCAGACAGTGTCAATCCTCTGATTCACGGACGCACGGCTTTGAAGAACAGAGTCACAGAGCAGAACTGAAAATCCAAACCAAAAGGTCAAAATTCCACAGCAAAAAGTACCATTTTTAGTGGAGAGAAGTAACAATGAGATTAAAACAAAACTCTGGGTTTTGTAACACATCTAAAAGATCTGCTTGCCTGGGACAGGCTGCTCTGCTGTTGCTCAGTGGTGGGCATTGATGAGCCAGGTGGACTTGATCTCACTCTTGGGGAGCAGAGAAGAACCTGGCACTGGGGCATGACCTGTGTAAATGTCTTCCCCAAGGCTGCCGAGCACCTGTGTCTATGCAGAAATATCTACTTTTGAATTCACATTGCCCAAATCCAAAAAGCAATGAAAATCTACTGAAATAGCAATATCATTGGAAAGATGATGGTTCAAAAGCAAACAACCAATTAATTCTGATAAACAGACTAAAAAGAATAAGCAACCAAACAGTGTGATTAGGAGAGATTTAATTTCTGAATCCTTGACTCGGTACACTTGGATGAGTGACAGGTTCCTTCCCACTGGGCTGGGAGAATGCTTGTTTTCCTATAACTGGTCAAAGCAAATAACGCTGATGGTTCAGAGTGGCCTCTTCTGCATCAGGACAGAGTCCATCCGGCCACTTGCTGGAGAACTCCACAGAATGCAGCAGTTTTATACAGAGTTATGACAGCGAGCACAGACGTGGCTGAGTGGACCATGTGGCCAGTTAACCCTTCCAGAGGGGCACACGGTGGATGCCCAGGGGCCTGATAAGTTGATTCATTCTGCTCAGTCTCCCAGAGCCCAGACACGGAATTTTACCTCAGGGACCCTACTTGTCCAAATTCTGGCTAATTTCCAAAAGTCAGGCCTAGAGAAATCAAAAGAAAAGGCACAGAGCAGAGAGCAGAGAGGTGGAAGTCAACAGACTGTAGTGTGCTTCACAACGTAGACCTCAAAGCCCGGATCAGCCAGGATCTGACTCCCAGCCCTGTCACAGACTAGCTTGGAAACTGAGAAAGGCACTCAATCTTTGCATCCCATAGTTCCTCTTATCAGGGCCAGAACAAGGCTGCTGCCAGTGGAACCACTGGGCTTGCCATATTGGGGTTCTCTCAGGGTCCTGTGGTGCTGACTGGAACCCAAGAGTGAGGTCACCTTACAGGTTGCACCCTGTGGGCCTCACAGCCTTGCTTCGAGCCCAGGACTCTCCCTGTATCCATTTACAAATAAAAAATGAGTCTGAGCATTCTTCTTCCTAAATACCTGAGAAGACAACTGTTTCAGATTTAAGAGTGTTTTGGATTTGGCAATATTTGCAGAGACTTGATTAGATGGGTAACCTTAATCCCAAATGTTCAAAATCTGAAACTGGTGGTGCCCACCTCATACGTAGTTGTAAAGATTAAACATCTTAATTACAGCAAAAGTTTTACTGCTTCCCAAAAGTATGTGCTGTACCAAGTGTTTGCTTTTAAAATGTTCTAGCTTGGCCATTTACTGCCTCTACAAACTTGGGCAAATAATGTGCCCCTAGTTATCTTACCTATAAGTGAAAATGGTGATCATTTCGCCCTCAGCAAGAAAGCTATAATGAAAAAAAAAAAAAAACCAGCCAGAGCCAGGGAGGTATCTCAGTAGCACAGAGTCCATCTGGCAAGCGCAAGGTCCTGAGTTCGATTCCCAGGGCCAACGATAAGGTTTGGGGAAGATAAACTGAAAAACTCCTACCCATTCCTAGTGGAATTGTAAACTGGTAGAGTCACTTTGTAAAACCACCCAGAAGCTCTTTCAAAAGTTCAATATTGTGTTTGTTACCTTATAACCTAGTGATTACACTTCTAGGTACATACCCAGGATAAATGAGAACGTCCAACTACATGTAATCTGTACATGAATGCCCAAAAGAGCATTAATCATAACAGCCAAAAGGTGGAAACAACTCAAATGCCTATCACCCAAGTGATGGACAGGTAACGTGTGTTCTACCCTTAGCATAGACTACAAGGCAGTCACAAAAGAGATGGAGCCCTGATATATCCTACACATAGATGGAGCTCAACAGTGCCCTAGGTGACTATCTTTTTCTATTTGTTCACATTTTCCAGCTGTAACAAAAGTGAACAAAGCTCATAATAGTGGATCCAAAGGGTTCTGACGTCACCAGGCTCCAGACCCAGGTTACCCACTGGGTGCCTGAGGAAACTGTTGGTTCTTGAAATAATGGCGGCAAGTGGCCATTTCCTCCCAAAAGACTGGCTGTCGCTCAGGGGCTCCTGATATTGTGCCCAGCAGCTCTGTGACATCCGGCCCCCCTCTTCCCAGCGCTGCACGTCCCTGGAAGTGGGTCACCTCCAACCACGCTCTGTAACTGACACTTTCCACATTTCTAGCTCCTGCCTGGACCCTCTCCTGGGCATCAACCCATATTCACCTGTGGGCTACAGCCTGTGACCGGAGAGGTCATCTGGATCCAGCCTGCGGTTAGGCAGGTCTGGGGCAGCCTGGCTGCTCTGTCACAAGCTCCCGGGGGCTATGATGGCGTGGCTCAGGGCCGTACCTGGAGAGCTCCACCCAGACATCCCACAGACACCTCGAACACATTCAAACCAGGATTCACATCTGTCCTCACATGGCTTCTCCCGATCTCCTTCCATACCCTCTGCATGAGTCATTCTTACACACACTTCAGGGAGCATCGGTCTCCCAAAAGACTTGTTACTTACAACAGACCAGGAAGCCCCGCCTGCCGAGGGGCTGACTCCAGAGGCCTGGGTTGGGGGCCTTGTGCTTCTAACATGTTCCTAGATGATGCTCTTGGCTGGGGACCACACTGTGAGAACTGTCCCTCCCCCCATGTATATGTGTCATGTCTAAGTGTCTGCATCCCCAGAAGTAGTGGGCTTGTCCTCTCTCCCCTCCTAGGAAGTCCACGCCCCTTGGCTTAGCCACGCCATGCTGCACACCAGGGCCTCTGCTACATCTTCTGTCTGCCCTGGCACTGCACGGGCCACCCCACTCTCTCCTCCCAGTTGGTCCCTAGCTTCAGTCTCCTCCTGCCAGCTACCTTCCCCAGTACCACGTCCCAAGACAGTCCCCTGTGGGCCAGATGGGGCGTAGTCAAAGCATGATGTGCACTGTGACGTTTTCCTGGTCCAAATCTGCCTCAACCCTTTACTCTGCAGAAGCAGTGTCCTCTCCTTTGCCCTCCCACTGGACACGTAATTGTCTCTGCATATCATCTTTCATTATACTTACTGGTTTTCAAACCCGCTCTAGTGCACTAGACTGCAGGCTCCTGCAGCTCCAAAGCTGGGCTTAAATAAGGGGCTGGGCCTTATGTATCTTACACAGTGATCACTACTACAATGGCTACACCTAACAGGTGCTCATGATTAACCCCTGGAAACCTGAAATAGGATGGGAATGCGTAGCTCCAATCACTGTTGCCCAAGGGTGGAAAAATCCCCCCCTTCCCACTACTGCATTTGTTTCTTATGTTATACAAGTTATTGTGTTTCATTAAAAGACTGTTAAGTAGTTCACCACCTCCCTCTATGTAGGATTCAGAGTGTCCTCTGCCAGGTGCACACATTCCTGGCATAAACACCTGGAGAAGAAACAGGTCTTTGGAATGGAAAAAGGACCCAGCAGGGGCTGGGACATGGCCTTTGTTCCCCCAAAGGATCGGAGAATTACAGGTCAAGGGGGCTGCGTGCACACCCAGCAGGGCTGGAAAGCCACCCAGATCTGGCTGTCAGCAGCCCATGCTGGACGATGGCTTCCCACCTCTTCCCTGCGTTTCCAGGAGAGTGGAAGGGGCAGATCAAGATGCCTGCCCTCCAGAAGCCAGGCTATTTGTATTTCTTTTTTTTTTTTTTTTTTTTTTTTTTACTACCTCCCTCTATGTAGGATTCAGAGTGTCGTCTGCCAGGTGCACACATTCCTGGCATAAACACCCGGAGAAGAAACAGGTCTTTGGAATGGAAAAAGGACCCAGGAGGGGCTGGGACATGGCCTTTGTTCCCCAAAGGATTGGAGAATTACAGGTCAAGGGGGCTGCGTGCACGCCCAGCAGGGCTGGAAAGCCACCCAGATCCGGCTGTCAGCAGCCCATGCTGGCCAATGGCTTCCCACCTCTTCCCTGCGTTTCCAGGAGAGTGGAAGGGACAGATCAAGATGCCTGCCCTCCAGAAGCCAGGCTATTTGTATTTCTTAAACTTTCCCCGTTTATTTCCATTCCACTTTCCCACAGAGCCCAGGCAGGTCTCTGTGAGAACATCTTTCCTCACATGGCTTCTCCCGATCTCCTTCCATACCCTCTGCATGAGTCATTCTTACACACACTTCAGGGAGCATCGGTCTCCCAAAAGACTTGTTACTTACAACAGACCAGGAAGCCCCGCCTGCCGAGGGGCTGACTCCAGAGGCCTGGGTTGGGGGCCTTGTGCTTCTAACATGTTCCTAGATGATGCTCTTGGCTGGGGACCACACTGTGAGAACTGTCCCTCCCCCCATGTATATGTGTCATGTCTAAGTGTCTGCATCCCCAGAAGTAGTGGGCTTGTCCTCTCTCCCCTCCTAGGAAGTCCACGCCCCTTGGCTTAGCCACGCCATGCTGCACACCAGGGCCTCTGCTACATCTTCTGTCTGCCCTGGCACTGCACGGGCCACCCCACTCTCTCCTCCCAGTTGGTCCCTAGCTTCAGTCTCCTCCTGCCAGCTACCTTCCCCAGTACCACGTCCCAAGACAGTCCCCTGTGGGCCAGATGGGGCGTAGTCAAAGCATGATGTGCACTGTGACGTTTTCCTGGTCCAAATCTGCCCCAACCCTTTACTCTGCAGAAGCAGTGTCCTCTCCTTTGCCCTCCCACTGGACACGTAATTGTCTCTGCATATCATCTTTCATTATACTTACTGGTTTTCAAACCCGCTCTAGTGCACTAGACTGCAGGCTCCTGCAGCTCCAAAGCTGGGCTTAAATAAGGGGCTGGGCCTTATGTATCTTACACAGTGATCACTACTACAATGGCTACACCTAACAGGTGCTCATGATTAACCCCTGGAAACCTGAAATAGGATGGGAATGCGTAGCTCCAATCACTGTTGCCCAAGGGTGGAAAAATCCCCCCCTTCCCACTACTGCATTTGTTTCTTATGTTATACAAGTTATTGTGTTTCATTAAAAGACTGTTAAGTAGTTCACTACCTCCCTCTATGTAGGATTCAGAGTGTCGTCTGCCAGGTGCACACATTCCTGGCATAAACACCCGGAGAAGAAACAGGTCTTTGGAATGGAAAAAGGACCCAGGAGGGGCTGGGACATGGCCTTTGTTCCCCAAAGGATTGGAGAATTACAGGTCAAGGGGGCTGCGTGCACGCCCAGCAGGGCTGGAAAGCCACCCAGATCCGGCTGTCAGCAGCCCATGCTGGCCAATGGCTTCCCACCTCTTCCCTGCGTTTCCAGGAGAGTGGAAGGGACAGATCAAGATGCCTGCCCTCCAGAAGCCAGGCTATTTGTATTTCTTAAACTTTCCCCGTTTATTTCCATTCCACTTTCCCACAGAGCCCAGGCAGGTCTCTGTGAGAGGCCCAGCCTCTCAGCTGTGCTAACATGGACCTCACATGGGCCATGGCAACCTCAGAGCAGAAGCTCTGCACCCAAGGCTTGCTGGGAGCCACAGGAGTGGAGTCCAGGAGCCCAGGGGTGGGAGCTTAGCAAAGGCAGCTGGACCAGGAGCTCCTCTGCCTGTCATGTGCTGAAGCCTCCTTGAAAGCTCAACCTGGGAGGTTCTAGGTTTTTCAGCAGTAAGACAGGTGTTCTTTGCACTGGGCACCTGGGTAGAGTGCCCAGGTGAGGCAAAGTCTTCCAGAGGGATGATAGGAAGGAGAAGTGTGGGGTGGAAGGGAATTTATCTGCCCAGTTGGAACCTGGAAGGCAGGCCTGAGGAAAGAGGAGCTTAGGTATCACAAGCTGCAGGGACAAATGGGGACGTGTGGCACCTGAGGGCTGCTCAACAGCAGGTTCCGAGTGTGGAAGTCTCCCTCCCTCATCCTGTCATGGAGGAGACCCAGCGCTTCCTTTTTAAGCTGGGAGAAGGGGAAGGAGATGTAATTTGCAGGAATGACCCTTAGTCAAAGTATGCTAGCAGCGCCAAATGTATCCTTTAGGACAGTTTCTATGGACACCAAACAAACCCAAACTAGGAAACTAAATGATACAAATTCCAACTAGGAGTTGTGCTGGGGAGATGTGGTACACAGATAACTGCTGCAGAGATCCTGGCTGCAGCCTGCGGAATCTGCAGGACACCCAGAAACTCTAGCAAGACGATCATTAAGCAACTGGCCAGTGCACTTCTTTCCTGGGAAAGCCTTTCTGCTTGTGGAGCTTCTAGGTGACCCTGAGGATAACGATACCAGAGAAGGGAAGATGCAAAGATCTGCACAGGAGAGAAAAGCTTTCTTCAACCCTGAAAAACTGGGTCTTGCTGGTCAAGAGCCAAAGTCAAGGGTACAGGGGTCAGAGGCACAGCTTCTCCTGTTGACCATGAAGAAGGCATCACGGC